GCCCTGGTGGATGCAGAATGGAGTGGAGTCTTGTGTTTGCTTTGATCACTCACCTGTGGGTGAGGAGTGCTGGGCTGCTACCCCTTGGCTATATTCTCTGACCTGTCATCTTAACATTAAGACGATTGCTCCTCAATAATTGGTAAAGGGCCAGGCATGGTGGCTTACACTATAATTCCAGCACTTTGGGAGGCCGAGGCAGGAGGATTGCTTAAGGCCAGAAGTTCAGGACCAGCCTGGGCAACATAGCTATGCCCTGTCTCTATGGAAAAAAAAAAAATAGCTGGAGTTGGTGGTGTGCACCTGTAGTCCTAGACACTTGGGAGGCTGAGGCATAATGATGGCTTGAGCCCGGGAGGTCAAGGCTGCAGTGAGCTATGATCGCACCACTGCACTCCAGCCTGGGCAACAGAGTAAGACTCTGTCTCTATTTAAACAACAACAACAAAAATTGGTAAAGACCTCATTTTTTATTTTATTTTTTTTATTTCCCGCAAAGACCCTTGAAGTCGCTGCCATTGTCATTTGCTACCTTTGGAGTGCATCTTTCTGATACTGTTGGTTTTAATGACAAAGGTGGGAATAGGAAAGAGACACACATGGAAGGTGTCAGGTCAGACTTGGCTTCGGAGCCAGAAAGACGGGTTTGGATCACTAGCTGGGTAAGCTTAGGCAACCTTAATCTCCTCACCTGTAAAATAAGGAAAATAACACCCACTTCAAAGGCTTGATGTGAGAATTATAATGAGGTAAAGCATTTAGGATCCTAGCAGATGGCGAATGCCCAATAAATCCTAGTTTCTGCCCCCTCCTGGCCCCACCATAGACGCCTGCGGCCTGAGCACCACTGTCTGCTAACTCTAATAAAACATGAGCTTGGTCTTCACCATCTTCATCTCCCTGTTGCTTTTGTGTGTATGTTTTTGTTTTACTTAATCTTTCAGACAATGGAGAGAAGGGAAAAGAGAAAGGCAGAGGAGGAGGGATGTGGAATGGATACAAACTAAATTTAGAACTTTCCTAAGTGAAAATGTTGCCTGAAAGAGTACCTTCAGTTGTCCTCCCTCAGTTCTTTCTCCAAGAAAAATATTAACCTATGTGACAATACTATGTGTCTACAGTAGCACATTTAAGACTAAGAATACCTTGAGGCAGGTGGATCACTTGAGATCAGGAGTTCGAGACCAGCCTGGCCACTATGGTGAAACCCCATCTCTACTAAAAATACAAAAATTAGCTGGGTGTGGTGGCGCACACCTGTAGTCCCAGATACTCAGGAGGCTGAGGCAGGAGAATCGCTTGAACCTGGGAGGCGGAGGTTGTGGTGAGCCAAGAGGCACTATTGCACTGGTGACAGAGCGAGACTCCAAGTCAAAAAAAAAAAAAAAGACTTAAGAATACCTACATGGAGCTGGCATATCAGGCAGAGTAAGACAGCAGCTTCCTGGCCTTCTGAGTCCTTTTTCCCCTGAGCACCAGCCTTGGATAACTGGGGTCTGACAGAGGCACGCTTCAAGAGCGGAGCCTCAGTAGAGGTTTACTGTTTTCATCACGATGGCAGATGTGCTGAGTCCCATCCACTGATTTTGCCCCACTGGGGGAGCCAGTCTCCATCCTTGAATCTTACAGTCCTAAACTGTGATGGGATTGGCATCTCAATTTAGAAAAATGCCAGGCCTCCGCCTTGGGTCCTCTCCAAATCTTTCAGCTTTTGGAGATACACATTCTTTCTTATTACTCCTTCTGGACATAGATAAGATCTAAGCCTTAGCTTAGCGGTTAGTGCTTGCAGTCTCCCTCAGGCCACCTTTCTTAGATGTAGCTTCGGAATATTTTGGCACTGGCTCCGCTCTCCAGCCTTCACTCCTCCCCTTCTTGGCATTCTCTTTTTCTGTTGTTGTAGCAGATCCTCTTCTAATCTCATCCGTGTTTGTTGTTGTTGTTGTTTCTTTCCTCCATCAAAAAAATCCCTCTGAAAAAGATCCAAAGTTCAGTTCTAGCCACTGAAGAATGTATAGCTACATGAAAGTTTGTTTTTTGTTTTTTTTTTTTTTTTGAGTCTTCTAATTGTCTTTAACAAACATATAGTTCTTGAAAACAACTTGTTATCATATAATACTTAGGTCGGGACATAGTTTCTACCTGCAAGTTTACATTTATTTCTTAAGGTAAGGTTAAAGGAAAAAACACATACACAAGAGGAAAAAGATTCAAGAGACTAATATTACACCTCTTTAAAAAGCTGAGCAGGAAACCATAGAGAGAGTCTCACAAAAATCCATTCTTCTGCTTGGGATGAGATTATTGATTTCCTTAGTTACTACTTTTCCCTGAAGTGTTGAAATAAGTGCCTTTTGATGCTTGGACTTGAGAAAAACTTGTTCCCCAAAGCCACTTGGCACGAATAAATCCCAGGAACTAGGTACTTGAGGCACTGTGTTTGGTAAGCATGAGAGAGAAGGGCGGGGAGGGGAGGAGACAGAAAAAAGAGCGAGGGAAGGAGGGAAAGTGGCGGTACTAGGTGCCAGAGGAACCATAGCACTGCAAGAGAGCGACTGACATAGAAGGGAGTAGGTCCTCACTGAGGCCTGGCTCTCCTTCCCTGAGTTCTACCAGCTTCACCCAGGGCATCTACATCACCCACACTGCTCCCGTGAAACTGGGCTAATTTCATGCAAATCTAAACAGGTTTCATCCAAATGTAAAACCTAGAACTGAGTGCAGTGGCTCTCCTGTAGTTCCAGCTATTCAGAAGCCTAAGGCAGGAGGATCCCTTGAGCCTGGGCAACATAGTGAGACCCCATCTGTAAAATTAAAATAAACAAACAAATATATATTTAAAGCAAACCTAGACTGAATTCATTGAATTTAGTGAATACACATTTTGTTGTCAAAGTGAATATTCTACACATCTCTAAAATTAAAATAAACACATGAACAAACAAATATATAAATAAATGAAACACAGACTGAATTCATTGAATTTAACGAATACACATTTTGGTGTCAAAGTAAAGAGTCCACACAAGGCAATACATTTTGAAGGAGTTTATGAGCTTCTACGATTTCTGGTTATATGTAGAAAATCACATGCTTTAACTTCCAAAAGCATCTTTATTGTCACACAGTAACCATTTAAAAGGAGAGATTGGGTTTTAGCAGCAGAGGAGGGGGAAGGACATTACAGGCCAGAGAAACAGTGTGACCAGAATCTCGAAGGTGGGAAAGTACAAGGTCCAGTTTGATTAGAAATCAGGAGGGCAGCAGGAGGGAAAGCAAGAGAGAAACTGCCAGATTAGGGAGGGCCCTGAGGGCCAGAAGAGGATTTTGTAGTTAATTTGGAAGAAAACATTGTAATTAAATAAAAAGTTTTTTAAGCAGTGGAGTTGTATGCATTAGGAAAATTATAATAACATCCAACATCTGTTGATCATTTACAGTGTTCTAAGCGATTAACACTGTAGGCTGAGCTCTTTAGGTATATGAGCTCACTGAAACTCACAACCCTCTTGCAAAGGAGAAATCATCCATTTTATGGAAGCAGCTGAGGCTCAGAGATGTTCATTCACTTTGCCCAAGGTGACACAGCTAGTCAGGACCAGGATTTTAACCTTAGAGGTGTCTGGTTCCAAAGCCTCCATTCTTAACCACAAAACAATAAATGCCAGAACAAAAGAAATGAAAAAAAGAATTTAAAAAGTCTTGTGACTTAAATGTTATTGAAGTTGGTGTGAGAGGAGAGGAAGAAAGGGGAGTCAAAAACAACTGCTAGAATTTGAGCCAGTGTGGGAATTCTGCAGGTAGGGAAATCGGAAAGAGGTAAGGTTTACAGGGCAAACTGGAGAGCTTGCAAAACTGGTGAGGGGTGGGAATAGGAGTCTGAAGTCCAGGATACAGCCTAGGGCTGGAATGGAAACCAAGGGTCATTTACATAATGACAGTGCTTAAAACGCCTCTAAGGAGAGTTGGTCACTGAGGTCTTAAAGGGAGCAGAAGAGAAGCAAAGATGTGGACTGAGGTCCAAATTATAGGGGAAAAATGAATAGTTATTAGAGAAGACACATCAATAGTGACGAGAGGTAAACGTTTAGAGCGATGATAAATGTGCATATTTATCTTTATAGGGAATGTTTCCCCATAGGGAACAGTTTCTAGAGTAATGCTGAATTTGTAAAATTATCTGAATCTTTGAGTCCTCTAGTAGCACATTTCTTCTCTTAGAAATTGGGATTTGGCCCAGCTATTTGGGAGGCTGTGGCACGAGAATCGCTTGAACCCGGGAGGCAGAGGTTGCAGTGAGCTGAGATCACACCACTGCACTCCAGCATAGGTGACAGAGGGAGACTCTGTCTCAAAAAAAAAAAAAAAGAAAGAAAAGAAAAAAGAAATTGGGATTTGAGGGCTGGGTACCATGTGGCTCATGCCTGTAATCCCAGCACTTTGGGAGGCTGAGGTGGGAAGATCACTTGAGCCCAGGAGTTTGAAGCTGCAGTGAGCTGTGATTGTGCCAATGCACTCCAGCCTAGGCGACAGAGCAAGACCCTGTCTCAAAAAAGAAAAGAAAAAGAAAGCAAAGATTATCTTCCATCAGAAATAAATAAGATTAACATTTATTAGTATATTCTTTCATCTTTTCTGGATTCATAATACTCTTTTTCAAACTAGGGATTCTTCTGAAAATAGTTTTCCTCATAAGATATTGTGTATATTTTTGCAAGGCATTCAGTTTAGTATTCATAAGAATTTGGTAGTATTATAATAATAATAATGCATCATAAAGGTGGATTAAAATGCATTTAGCCAAACCTCTCATTGGACATTGGACATGTAGGTTGTTTCCACATTATAAATAATGCTCCAATTCATAATTTTTTAAATTAAAAATAATTATTTTTAGAGACAGGGTCTCACTCTGTCCCCAGGCTGGAGTGTGTCTATTCACAGGTACAATGATAGCTCACTGCAGCCTTGAACTCCGGGGCCCAAGTGATCCTCCCGCCTTGGCGTCCCAAAGTGCTGGGAATACAGGAGTGAGCCACCGTGCCTGGTCACTCTTTACTTATTTCTAAATATTTCCTAGAAGCAAAATCAGTGGTCAAATGCCATGAGTGTGTTGAATGCAGAGTTCATTTCTGAACATGACTATCAATTTGCTGGTAGTACTTGTGCTAGACCATGGTGAAGCGTGCTATCTCCTTCCTACTTCCTCATTTCCATTCTTGTAAGTCAAAAGGAAACCTTAGAAAAAGGATCAACAGCAACCTTTCAGAAAAAGCATATACATTTTTTGTTGTTGATTTTTTTTTTCTTTAACACCTTCAGGTGTGCGTTAGCAGTCACCCTCTGTTTACCCTTACAAGCCACTTTGGGCACTCAGTGTTTTTTAAACAAAAAGGCCTGGTAACTTGGATGGTAAGGCTGTCTGTCCCAACTGGTCCCGCTCCTCACTGGCAGAGGAACTTCTGCATTTCCAGCCTGTGACTTTCGTCAGAGGCAAATCCAAGGAGGGGAACCTCACTTAGGTGAAGAAGATACTTGTCAGGTCTGCTAGGATTTCTCTCCTAGGCTTCAGGAATTTGCAAGCATCTTTGCATTTCCTGGCATTCTCTGGCCTGGAATGCTGCTTTTTGTCTTGGGCCTCCCTGGCAGAGCAAGGCAGTCCTCTTTTGTGTCTTCAGAGCCTTTCTCTGGGCTTGGGACAGGCCCACTGTGTTGGCACAAGCCTCATTTGGTCTGCTGGGGAGCTTGGCTGCAGGCCCTGGGTGCTCGGCATCTCCCCTGGCTGCTCCTCTCTGTCCTATTCAATCAGCCTCAGCACCTGCACTTGTCAGTTAGGCCTGATGTTCCCCTGGATGGGAAATGGAACTTCTTTACCGTTGCTCTAATTCCATGTTTCACAAACCGCAGGGCCTATGGATGGGTTGGGAAGTAAATTTAAAGATGTGAAGAAAAAAAAATCGGAGTCCATCACAATAATGGTAGGTATTGTTTCATGAAACTTTTTTCATATTTTATATATGCAAACTTTAAAGACCTTGAAAGCCAAGAATGTGAACTGTGCATTTCAAACACATGTCAGTATTCCCACGGGGCGATGATGCATATTTAGGTGGGGAAATGTGATACCGTTTTTATTTTATTAGCTAGGCTAATAACTGCAAGATCATATGGCTTTAGTGGAGAAAACACAAAGCTTTGGACTCAGAACTGGGTCAATATTGTTGCTAACTAGCTGTGTGACCTTGGACAATTCAATGAATCTCTCTGAGCCTCCCTTAGTGTTGTCTGTAAAAGACTGATAAGCATCCTGGCCTCATAGGATTACTGTTAGGATTAAACAATTTTTTTTTTTTTTTTTTTTTTTTTTTTTTTTTTTTTTTTTTTGAGACGGAGTCTCGCTCTGTCGCCCAGGCTGGAGTGCAGTGGCGCGATCTCGGCTCACTGCAAGCTCCGCCTCCCGGGTTCACGCCATTCTCCTGCCTCAGCCTCCCGAGTAGCTGGGACTACAGGCGCCCACAACCACGCCCGGCTAATTTTTTGTATTTTTAGTAGAGACGGGGTTTCACCGTGGTCTCGATCTCCTGACCTTGTGATCCGCCCGCCTCGGCCTCCCAAAGTGCTGGGATTACAGGCGTGAGCCACCGCGCCCGGCCAAATTTTTTTTTTTTTTTTTGAGACAGTCTTGCTCTTTTGCCCAGGCTGGAGCACAGTGGTATGATCTTGGCTCTCTCTAACCTTCGCCTCCTGGGTTCAAGTGATTCTTGTGCCTTAGCCTCCCTAGTATGTGGGATCACAGGCACGTCCCACCACACTCAGCTAATATTTTTGTATTTTTAGTAGAGCTAGAGTTTTGCCATGTTGGCCAGGCGGGTCTTGAACTCCTGGGCTCAAGTGATCCACCCACCTCCGCCTCCCAAAATGCTGGGATTACAAGCAGGAGCCATCACACCAGCCATAAACAAAATAATCTATGTATAGTGCTTAGCACATGGGAGACACATGCTAAATAAAGCTTGTTGTCTAGTCTTTTGTCTGGGTCATAAGGTATCCTCTCTTGGCAGCACAGCCACCCTCTTCCTCATCTCAAGAGTACAAGATGGCTGGGCACGATGGCTCAGGTCTGTAATCCCAGCACTCTGGGAGGTTGAGGTGGGCAGAACACTTGAGGTCAGGAGTTTGAGACCAGAGTGGCCAACATGGTGAAACCCCATCTCTACTAAAATATACAAAAAATTAGCTGAGTGTGGTGACTCACGCCTGTAATCCCAGCTATTCGGGAGGCTGAGCTTCAGCCTGGGAGGCTGAGGTTGCAATTAGGCTGCACTCCAGCCTGGGCGAAAGAGTAAGACTCCGTCTCAAAAAAAAAAAAAAAAAAAATTGAGAGAGAGTACATGCTACCTGCATCTCAAAACAGAGAGAGAAAAAGAGAGTACATGCTACCTGCATCTCAAAAAAAAAAAAAAAAAAAAAAGTACATGCCATCTGCGATATCGCAACAGTTCTGTTTCTCAGTTTCCCACTTTATGGTTTGTATGATGACAATAAGTGTTTCCTATAAAAAGAATCTCTGATCAAGAAAATTTCAGAATTACAGTTTACAGTTATATGAAATGCTAAGGCCACCAACTCAGGAGTTGCAAACTCAAGTGTCTACAGGGGCCAGGGAGGTGATGTGATTGGGTGAAAAGTCAGGCTAACCACTTAGGGAATGGCAGGGACTCTGGTTGAGAATCCTGACCCCTTTGAGGGAGGCAGCCACTTTTCATTCCACCCATCCTCCTCATGTGGAAATGTGAACCCAACCTTATCAGATCTCTCATTTTTGAAAAGAAGCCAAATATCTGGATTTTTTATTGTGAAGATTTCTACTGTTTTCTGGGTTTTGTTTGTTTGTTTAGAGACAGGGTCTCTCTCTGTCGCCCGGGCTGGATGGAGTGTGATGGCAGGATCATAGCTCACTGCAGCCTCAAACTCCCGGGCTCAAACAATCCTCCTATCTCAGCCTTTTGAGTGAGTAGGTGGAACTATAGGTGAGCACCACCACCACACCCGGGGAATTTTTTTTTTTTTTAGAGACGTTCTCAAACTGGGCACATTGGCTCACACTTGTAATCCCAGCACTTTGGGAGGCCGAGACAGGCGGATCACTTGAGCCCAGGAGTTCAAGACCAGCCTGGGCAACATGGAGAGACCCCCATCTCTACAAAAAATACAAAAACATAATTAACCAGGCATGGTGGTGCGCGCCTGTAGTCCCAACTACTTGGGGTGGGGTGAGGGGAGGGGAGAGGTGGGAGGAGACTGCAGTGAGCTGAGGTCACACCACTGCACTCCAGTCTAGGCGAGACCCTGTCTCAAAAAAAAAAAGAGAGAGAGAGAAGGTCTCGCTCTGTCGCCCAGACTTGAGTGCAGTGGTTCAATCACTGCTTACTGTATCCTCGAACTCCTCTTCTGCCTCAGCCTCCCAAAGTGCTGAGATTACAATTGTGAGCCACCGCATCTGCCCAGTGTCCACCTTTTTAAAACACCGCTTTGACCAAAAACACGTCTGTGGGTCAGAAGATAAGGCCAGAGAGAGGCCAGTTTACGCTGTCAGTCCTAACCCTTCATGGCTGGGCATACTTATTACGGTCACCCCCTGCTCTCCAGAAAAGCCTCCCATGGTATCCCTATAAAAGTGCTTGTTTAAAATAACTATAATATTTTGCAGCAAAAATACACTTTAAGCACAGAATATGTAACTCCAATAACAGATTAAAATTCTACCTAACGAAGAGGACCATCTTCTTCACAAGGTGTTAAACACTACAAACAGCAAGAAAGAAACGGGCAAGTCGGCAAGGTGGGAGTGTTCCATTGTTCCTGTCTTTCCTTAGTCAACCAAAACCACTCATAAAACATTTATTGCTTTTTAAAAAAATAGCTTTATCAAAGTATGATTCACACACCATGCAATTTACCCACTTACAGTGTATAATTCAATGGTTTTGGGCATATTCACCAGGTCATGCTGCCATTACTATAATCTAATCTGCAACATTTTTGTACCCCTAAAAGAACCTCCATACCCATTAGCAGGCACTCTCTTTTTCCCCAAACCCTGGCAGCCACTAATCTACTTTCCTGTCTATAATATTTACTGTTCTGGATAGTTTATATAAATGGAATCATACAATATGTGGCCTTCTTATGTCTGGCTCTTTCACTTAGCATAATGTCAAATATATATGTATGTATATGGCTATACCACATTCGATTATCCACTCATCTGCTGATGGCCATTTGGGTTGTTTCCACTTTTTGACTGTTATAAATAATGCTGCTATGAAGATTCATGTACAAGTGTGTGTGGACATGTTTTTGTTTCTCTTGGGTATATACCTTGGAGTGGAATTGCTGGGTCAACTGGTATCTATCTATGTTTAACCTTTTGAGGAACTGACAGCTTGTTTTCCAAAACACCTGCACGTTTTACATTCCCACGAGCGTGCATAAGGGTTCCAGTTTCTTTCTCCACATGCTCACCCATGCTTGCTGCTGTCTGTCTCCTTGATTATAGCCATCTGCGTGGGTGTGTGATAAGCATTTATTCTGAAGGTGTAAGGCAGTTTTAATAGGGCAGCTGAATTCGGTGTTTGATTATTGAGATCAAGACCTAATATAGGGATCTTTTCTGAACTTAGATCAACTTTCTGTAAGAACTTTTACTATTACGTTTTCCACTCATCATGTGTACCATTCTTTGACTAACCAGAAGATAGGCCTCTTAAGGAAAGGTCTGATATTTTCCCCTTCCTAACCAGTAAAATAATCCAATTCTAGAGACATTATTGATATAAATTAGCTTTAGTACAATTTTCTGTGCCACAGCCATCAATGCTGCCCACAGTGTAGCTGCTGATTCCCCCCAGAAAACTCAGGCTGAGGCAGGAGGTACTTAAACAGGGGGGAAGAGGTTCTCCTTCTCCATACATAAATACATATAGCACCACCTCCCTGTCTTTCACCTCTGGTCTTTCTTCTTGCCTATCCATTTAGTCATGAAACATCCTTTCAAGTTAGATTAAGGTAGCGAGAGCCCTAAGGCAATGTTGAGGAAACTGAGCACAGACCTTGGTGACTATGAGACATCCATGCATAGTGAATTGAGGGGATTGGATATCAGTATGCTTGCTTCTAGTCTGGAGTTCACAAACCTGTGCTCTCTTCTTTTCCTGAATGCCTCGTTCCTTTATTTTCACCGCCCTAAAAAAAAAAAAAAAAAAAAAAAAGTTTTCAGTATATGTGATCCTTAGTATGGTTGACCTCATCAGACATTTTGGGTTAGTGTTTCCTCTCCTTTTCCGAAACTGGCCCGTTTTGCAAAGCAGACAGGAGAAATCATAGCTTGACTTTAGGACTCATTGCACTGGGAGAAGTCAATATTCTTCAGCCAATGAAAAACTTACGGCTCCCAGTCTGCATTTTTGTTGTTGTTGTTTTCTGTATTGTTTTGTTTTATTTTGTTTACAGAGTCTTGCTCTGTAGCCCAGGCTGGAGGGCAGTGGCACCATCTCGGCTCACTGCAACCTCCGTCTCCCAGGTTCAAGTGATTCTCATGCCTCAGCCTCCGGAGTAGCTGGGACTACAGGTGTGCACCACCATGCCTGGCTAATTTTTGTATTTTTAATAGAGACGCGGTTTCGACATGTTGGCCAGGCTGGTCTCTAACCCCTGACCTTAAGTGATCCGCCTGCCTTGGCCTCCCAAAGTGCTGGGATTACAACAAGTGTGAGCCACGGTGCCTGGCCTTGCATGTTGCATTTTTTTACATCAGAGTTTTTTATTTGTATGTTTGTTTTGACACAGAGTCTCGCTCTGTGGCACTTTGGCGTAGTCTCTGCTCACTGAAACTTCTGCCTCCTGGGTTCAAGTGATTCTCGTGCCTCAGTCTCCCAGGTAGCTGGGACTACAGGTATGCGCCACCACACCCAGACTCATTCTGGCCTTTTTAGTAGAGACAGGGTTTCGCCCTGTTGGTCAGGCTGGCCTTGAACTCCTGGCCTCAAGTGATCCACCCGCTTCCACCTCCCAAAGTAGTGGGATAACAGGCATAAGCCACCAAACCCGATCACCTTTTAAGTTTTAGAAGCCAATTGGTGGCCAGTCGCGGTGGCTCACATCTGTAATCCCAGCGCTCCGGGAGGCCAAGGCGGGCAGATCCCCTGAGGTCAGGAGTTCAAGACCAGCCTGGCCATGGTGAAAACCCATCTCTACTAAAAATACAAAAAATCAGCCAGGTGTGGTGGTGCGCACCTGTAATTCCAGCTACTCCGGAGGTTGAGGCAGGAGAATCGCTTGAACCCAGGAGGCAGAGGTTGCAGTGAGCCAAGACTGGGCCATTGCAACAAGAGCTCCAGCCTGGGCAACAAGAGCAAAACTCCATCTCAGAAAAAAAAAAAAAAAAGACCAGGCATGGTGGCTCACTCTTGTAATCCAAGCATTTTGGGAGGCCAAGGCAGGTGGATCACCTGATGTTAGGAGTTCAAGATCAGCCTGGCTAACATGGTGAAACCCTGTCTCTACTAAAAATAAAAATAAAAATAAAATTAGCCAGGCGTGGTGGTCCATGCCTATAATCCCTGCTACTTGGGAGGCTGAGTCAGGAGAATCACTTGAACCCAGGAGTTGGAGGTTGCAGTGAGCCGAGATCATGCCACTGCACTCCATCCTGGGCAACAAGAGTGAAACTCTGTCTCAGAAACAAAAACAAACAAACAAACAAAAAAACCCATTGGTTTGGTTGAACATGGGAGACAAACATAAAATTAAAAATAAAATCAAATAAACCAGGCATGCTGGTTCACACCTGTAATCCCAGCACTTTGGGAGGCCAAGGCAGGCGGATCATGAGGTCAGGAGTTCAAGACCAGCCTGGCCAATATAGTGAAACCCCATCTCTACTAAAAATACAAAAATTAGCCATGGAGCATGCCTGTAGTCCCAGCTACTCGGGAGACTGAGGCAGAAGAATTGCTTGAACCCGGGAGGCCAAGGTTGCAGTGAGCTGAGACGCACCACTGTACTCCAGCCTGGATGATAGAGCGAGCCTCTGTCTCAAAATAAATAAATAAATAAATATGTCCGGGCATGGTGGCTCACACCTTTAATCCCAGCACTTCGGGAGGCCAAGGCAGGTGGATCACGAGGTTGGGAATTCAAGACCAGCCTGGCCAGTATAGTGAAACCCCATCTCTATTAAAAATACAAAAAACCGTAGTGCGTGCCTATAGTCCCAGCTACTCGGGAGGCTGAGGCAGAAGAATTGCTTGAACCCAGGAGGTGGAGGTTGCAGTGAGCTGAGACCACACCACTGCACTCCAGCCTGGGCGATAGAGCAAACCTCTGTCTCAAAAAATTAATTAATTAATTAAAAATAAATATATATATATAAGTCCAGGCACGGTGGCTCACACCTGTAATCTCAGCACTTAGGGAGGCCGGGGTGGGTGGATCACCTAAGGTCAAGAGTTCAAGACCGGCCTGCCAACATGGTGAAACTCTGTCTGTACTAAAAATACAAAAATTAGCTGGGCATGGTGGCACGTGCCTGTGATCCTAGCTACTTGGGAGGCTGAGGCAGGAGAATCGCTTGAACCCAGGAGGCAGAGGTTACAGTGAGCCGAGATCGCGCCACTACCGTCCAACGTGGACGACTGAGTGAGACTCCGTCTCAAAAATAAAATAAAACAAAATAAAAATAAAACAAAACAAAACAATAAACAGCCCATTGGTAGCAATCTTTGGGCAGACAATCTTGCAGTTTTCTGTGATAGTCTAATTTGGCTTGCCATAGTTCCCTGTATCTACCTAATAATCTTGGCCTAATTGGGAACTGGTAAATGCTTAGACTATATGAGTTTCTCTACATTTGAGATCCCCTGTCACCCTCCAGCTGTGCCTCCCCCTTTTTAAGTTACATCAATGAGATGTAATTGGCACCTATCCTCAATCTTAGTATCCTAACATTCACTTATTCTATTTTCCTGCCTTTTGATTTAGAAAGACCTAAATGCTTTTAGATCTAAAGATAGAAGAGGAAGGTTAAAACAATAATTTGCAATATGTACTCCTTCAGCTATTAATTCATTTATGCAATGGGCTTTATTTAGTGCCTGCTGTACCAAGTACTCTGCTAGGTGCTTGGGACTCAAAGATAGGGACTGGGCTCTGTTTCTCACACCTGTATTCCCAACATTTCAGGAGGCCAAGGACTTTGAGACCAGCCTGAGTAACATGGAGAGACCCTGTGTCTACAAAAAAAAAAATAGCCAGGACCGGGCACGGTGGTTCATGCCTGTCACCCCAGCATTTTGGGAGGCCAAGGTGGGAAGATCACTTGAACCCACGAGTTTGAGACCAGCCTGGGCAACATGGAGAGACCTTGTCTCTACAAAAAATAAAAATAAAAATAAATTAGCCGGGGCTGGGCACGGTGGCTCATGCCTGTAATCCCAGCACATTGGGAGGCCGAAGTGGGCGGATCACAAGGTCAAGAGATCAACACCATCCTGGCCAACATGGTCAAACCCCATCTCCACTAAAAACACAAAAATTAGCTGGGCGTGGTGGCGCACACCTGTAGTCACAGCTGTTCGGGAGGCTGAGGCAGGGGAATCACTTGAACCCAGGAGGCGGAGGTTGCAGTGAGCCAAGATCATGCCACTGCACTCCAGCCTGGTGAGAGAGGGAGACTCCGTCTTGATAAATAAATAAATAAATAAATAAATAAATAAATAAGCCAGGCATGGTGCCGCTCACCTGTAGTCCCAGCTTCCCAGGAGGCTGAGGTGGGAGGATGGCTTCAGCCCCAGAAAGTCAAGGCTGCTGTAAGCAATACCCTGTCTCAGAAAAAAAAAAAATAGAGTCCTTGCCTTTAAGGTGTACAGTGCAATGGGACAAGCAGATTCAATTGGAGAACCACAGTTGTGATTGCAGAAATTAATATACAGAATATTACAGGATTACAGAAAAGAGGTACTACCCCTATCCTAGAGGGGATGGAGGAAGGGCATAAAGTATATTAATGACAATCTGTAATTCAGTTGGTTAAATTGAGCATGGGAGAGGGTGTTCAGGGCTTTTCAACTGGATGACTTTGTAATTTGGAATAAAACACCCAATAGCTTGGCCAGATACTGTGGCTCACACCTGTAATTCCAGCACTTTGGGAGGCCGAGGCGGACAGATCACTTGAAGTCAGGAGTTCAAGACCAGCCTGGCCAACATGGTGAAACCCTGTCTCTATCAAAAATACAAAATTACCCGGGCCTGGTGGTGCATGCCTGTAGTCCCAACTACTCGGGAGGCTGAGGCATGAGAATTGCTTGAACCTGGGAGGTGGAGGTTGCAGTGAGCTCAGATCTTGCCACTGCACTCCAACCTGGGCAACAGAGCAAGACCCTGTCTGAAAAAAACAAGAGCAATAACAATAAAAACCCAATAACTGTAAAGTAAAATATGTCAACTTGTGACTAAGGATTCATGTGGAAGAAGAAAAGGGTCTAATAAGTGAACATCAAGGTTGTGGGGTTAGAGCTAGAAGATGTAGGTTTTATTTTAAAATTTCTTTCTTTTTTATGTCCTTCCCTGCCTATATCACAGAAAATCAAGTATAAGAAATGAAGTGCCTGCAAGTGATGGTTTTTAAACTCTCCTCTCTGACACAGCCTCTGTTAAACTTGGGAATAAATAAAGGTACCATCACCAGACTAGGGGAAGATTAACATTGTTTGAGGTTAGGATTTTAAAAAAACAAAGCAAGGCCAGGTGCAGTGGCTCACGCCCGTAATCCCAGCACTTTGGGAGGCCGAGGCGGGCGGTTACCTGAGGTCAGGAGTTCAAGCCTGACCACCAGCCTGACCAACATGGTGAAACCCCATCTCTACTAAAAATAAAAAATTAGGCGTGTTGGCGCGTGCCTGTATTCCCAGCTACTCGGGAGGATGAGGCAGGAGAATCGATTGAACTGGGAGGCGGAGGTTGCAGTGAGCCGAGATCGTGCAATTGCACTCCAGCCTGGGCAACAAGAGCGAAACTCTGTCTCAAACAACAACAACAACAAAAAACCAAATTTCACTAGATTTGCAATCACTGCCTTCATATACGATCAAAATATGAAGAAAAACTCAAGGTTAACTGCACTTGAGGTTTTCTAAATTGTGGGATTGAGGGGGTCTATATAATTTTAAACCTGAAAAAAAAGTTTAATCTTTACAACCCCATGGTCCCCTCCACTTTATAGCTGAGAGAATTGAAGCATGGAGGTTTAAAAACTTGCCCAAGATCATACAGCTAGTAAGTAGCAGAGCTGGGATTTGCACCCAAGTCTATTTAATTCCAGTGCCTATTACTCACCATATCATCCTGTCAAAATAGAAACCTTGTGTGGGTCCACTGCTCTCAAGATGTCCTGTGGCCATAAATGCACCCTGGCAGGAGCAAGCTGGTATAGACAACCAGTCAAGTGGATGGCCGTGCCAGTACAAAGCCAACACTGATCCTGGAAAATACTGATAGTGCCATATTCAACTAATCATCAAATTTTAATATCATGGATGCCATTGAAAGTATCTTAATCATTCTCATGAATATTTTGTAATATGAGACATTGAGAAGATAAGACAGTATTGAAATACATATCTAGATTTAAATGAAATATAAAATTTGAGTGATTAGTAGAGGGAAGCAGAGGATAGTAAATATGTGTGAAAATAACATAAAAGTTAACTTTAGATATATTCTCTTTAAACACTGCATGTGCAGTATACCAATTTATATCCTCTTTAATATTATAGTCTTTTTCATGTGCGTGTGTGATATATTGTCCATTCACTGAGACTATAATCCCTGAGACCAATAGTATATTTTCTTTTAAAAAAGAAATCAACATTAAAACAGGAAAGGTTATCTAAGCTTACTCTTAAGTAGTTTAATACATTTGAGGAAATAAATTAGGTTAGGGATGCTTATAAGCAATACAGAAAATCAAATTAACACGACGTAGGTGATTTATTCCAACTTTGATCTGTTACATGTGGAGGAATTGGCTGTTGGATTTAGAAGTGCACAAAATACCATTAGAGAGTGAAAAAAAGGGAAGTCTGTTATAACCGAATAGGGGCGTGGTCTGCTCAGGCTAAAAGGAATAGATAGTAGTTTCATAAAGGACTGATATAACTGTAGAGTCTTCAGAACTGGGCACTACAGCCCGCACATTTTCTCTACAGACGTAAGTATGTCTATTAATACCAGTCAGCTTGGTGAGTTAGAGAAACCATAGCCTGTGGATTTGGGCACATGCACTCTCTGCCTGCATCTAATCCTTCGGGTAACCGTATACCTACAACTCCAGTAATCCTGGAGCGGTTACATGGATGCACTAAGTGGTGTGATGGGAGGGAAAGATAGCATCACAAGGATTCGTTTGATTATAACAGTAATCCACACCAAGCCAAATAAAACAGCCAAACAGTTTAGAATGTGGTCTCTAATGAATTTGCTAATTCTACCAGGGCCTCACAAACATTTCCTGCTAGAGTACCCCATATCAAAACGAAGTGGCTGTTCTTTAATTACATGGAATAATTATTTGATTTCCAGGAAGTTAAGACAGTGCTTTGTATTTAAATAAAAAGTTCTAGACATGCTGTGAAACTCGATCAAACCAAGAAAAAGGGTGAAACTGAATGCCTGCTCAGTGACTCAAGATTTCAGCTGCTCAGCGAGCCTGACGTGACGGCTTATGAGCCCAGAAAAGGGGCATTTTAAACCCGGCTGGTTGGATCATGTCACTTTCTTACAGAAGCCCTGCCTTTCCAGAGACCTCAAGTGTAACGCAATCAGAGACCTTTGAGGGGCTAGAGGCTCGGCGGCTTCCGCCCCTCGGCACCAGCAGAGACCCCCGTTTTCAGGGGACATGACCCCATAGTGTCCCCCTCACTTTTTAAGGGCCATTAAAAGCCTGGGGCCTCTTATCTCAACGGCTTTGGGCGTGAATGTGGGGCAAGAGGGGGGGGGAGACCTGTGGGTGTCTCTTTTGCCTGAGGAGTTGGAGACACTTGTGGAAAAGTCAGGCCCTTTTCGCTCCGGCGGCCGCTCCGGTGTGGGGCTGGCTTGGGTTAGACACATGCACACATACACCATAGAGCTCTGCTTTCCCGTAGCAGCTGCTGCCTCTGCCTCTGCCTCTCCCGCCTCAGCCTCTTTGCCCGGCATACACACACATTCAGATTTGCGCGCTGTTTCAATCCTTGATGACGTGTCCCCGGAGACAGCCAATAGCAAACGGGCTCTGGTCAGGACAATGGGAGGTATCGGGCCAATGAGCGAGCCCCGTGAGTTGGCGGTAGCCAATAGGAGCCGCGCTGGCTGGAGAGTAATGTTACAGAGCGGAGAGAGTGAGGAGGCTGCGTCTGGCTCCCGCTCTCACAGCCATTGCAGTACATTGAGCTCCATAGAGACAGCGCCGGGGCAAGTGAGAGCCGGACGGGCACTGGGCGACTCTGTGCCTCGCTGAGGGTGAGTCTGGGGCAGCGCCGCGGCGGGGAGAGCGCCTCCGGCAGCTCCCCAGCCCGCGCGACGGCCGGATCCCCGCGGCCGGGAGCCGGCGGGTCAGGATCCACACAAAGGCAAATGAGGGGGGACCGTGGGGGGAACTGCGCACGGAGCGAGCCTCTGCCCGGGCGCCGGGAACGCTGCCCCGCGCCGGAGCCCCGGCCCTCAGGCAGCCTGAGGCGCCGGGAGCCCCGCGCCCCGCGAGTTTCCACCCCCGGCGGCGTCCGCGCTGACTGGCGCAAAAAAAAAAAAAAAAAAAAAAAAAATTTTTTTAATTAAAAAATTTTTGAACGTGTTTTGGGCCCTCGGGCCGGGCGTTCGGGCGGGCGGCGTGCGCGGAGCGCGGCCGGGGCGGCGGGGCCGGCGCGGCTCGGCGGCGGGAGGGCAGCGGCGGCGCTTCCCCGGGCTGCATTGGCCGTCGCCGCAGCGAGCCAGGCGCCAGCGGGGAGCGCGGCCGGTCGGGCGGGCGGCGGGGCGGGCGGGGCGCCGCGGCGGGCGAGGGCGGCGCGGGGGCCCGGGGGCGGCAGTGCGGGCCCGGCCGGCCTCGGCCCGGGCGCGGCGGCGGCCGCGGCCGGGCGGCGGGGGGAGCGGCGCCGCTGCGCTCGCTGGAACATGGCTGACTCGGGCCCGGCGCTGCTGGCTGGAGAGAAAACAAGGCGGGCGGGCGGGGGAGCTGGGCGCAGCAGTTCCGAGGCAACTTTTTTTTTCCTCTCTCTTTTCACAGCCCCGCGTTCCCCGTGCGGGGGCGGCGGGGCGCGCGGCCCGCGCGGAGGGAGACGGGGAGTGGCGGGCGGGTGGGCCCTCGGGCGGCCCCCACCGCGGCGGGGGGAGGGGAGCGGCGCGGAGGGGAGGGCCCGGCCGCGCGCCCCCCGCCCCTCCCCCGGCCGTAATGGCCGAGTGTGTGCGCCAGAGCGCGGCGCGCACCCCGCCCGCCGCCGCCGCCGCGCCCGCACCCTCGCACTCACACTCACACACACTCACACACACACACACACACAAAGGGAAGGAGCCATATTCTCGCTCGCGCTCGCCCTCGCGGCGGCGGCGGCGGCGGCGCAGGCGGGGAAGACGCGCAGCGGCCATTCCGTGCGCGCCGGCCCCGGCGGCCGCGGGCGGAGCCAGCCCCCATTTCGAGCGGGGCTTCTCCCTGCGCGGAGCCTGACAAAATGGGGGCGGCGGCGGCGCGGGCCTGCGGGGCCTGCGGGGCCTGCCGGGTGCACGTGGCGGCCTCGGGCCTGGGAG